TTAATGATGCATTCCATGTAAGGTGAATTTTAATGGTGCAGCTGGTTGAGATGGAGCTGGTTTAATTACTTTATATCCCGATAGATGCTTTAAGTCAAACAAATGCATCAAATGCTATACAATGCTTTATTAATAACATTTCTATCTGCATAGCAAACAAGTAGCTGTCAAATAAATGTAGAGGCGTAAAAAGTACAATATTGCCGTCTAAAATGTGATAATCAAGCAATGGTGGAAAGTGATTAAGTACTTTACTGTAAAAAAGAAAGTACTTGTTTTTATTTCATGCTTTATTCTTAAACTACACTACAATACAGTGATAAGTATTTCACTCTTTACTTCACTACATTTATCTGATAGTTATAGTTACTAGTTACATTGGAGACATACAAAATATGTGAACATTACACACAACATACAACGTACACAATATTACATCTACAATATTAAAATGCTGTTTAAATGTTAATGCATGAATACTAACAATAATAAAGAAAATGTAATATATATCATAATATATATTTACTTCTGAGTACTTCCCGCACCACTGTACTCAAGTAAAGTACAGGTACCTCAAAATTATAATAATCACTGTCCTTAAGTCATAAATGAGATGATATAAAAGTTGCCAAATACCTTGTTTATGAACTTCAATTTAATCTAAATCCCATTGATTTCAACCTTTCGAATAATGCAGTTCATTGACAGTCAGCATGTGTAATTGCAGTGTAGAAACACTAGATTTGACTTTGTTCGTTCACAAAAAGCTGCAAATTGGAAAGAAATCAGTGTGTGCTTCATATATACAAACAATAGAAGATCATCTGTTATTCCTTCTTAATATTAGAAGAGCCTTCTTTGAGAGTGAAGCGTTCGGATTCTCTGTAATTTAAGCAACAATAAACAGCAGTCCACATGTTTCCTACAGCGTCCCCCTTCAGTTGTTGCTCCTGGTGCTGAGCCAACAGGCGTATGGATGCCAGTACAGTATGACCGCGTGTACGCACACACCGAGGGGCCGCATCAGGGTACACTTACCGTGTGTGCGAGTGTTCACGATGAGGCCTGAACATGAACATCACGTGTACGTGTGTGTACATGTGTGCGTTTGTAGTAAATTCTTGGAAAAACTGAGGATGCAAATTTTATTTTTATGTGAAAGTGCATGAGGGTACATGGACTCACACTGAAACAGACACACACATGCACATATATACACAGACTTATGGGGTGACAGAGTGCACTGGCTGAGCTCAGATGAACCAATGGCAACCTGGGGAAGGAAGAATGTGTATGGCGCTAGTCCAAAAGAGGCCGTCAGAATCCTCAGCAGGCAACCCCGGTTGTCTTAGTGAACACAAGTGGGAGTGTGTGGGAGTGTGTGCATCTGCACATAAAGGCTGGTAGGGGTAGTAATTGAGTAACTATATGAGTGTGTGTGTGTGTGTGTGTGTGTGTGTGTGTGTGTGTGTGTGTGTGAGAGTGTGTGATTTTACAGTTGGCGATGAATTGTGTGAATCCATGTGAGAAAGCCTTTAATTTAAACCTTTTGTTATTAGTTGAAGCAGACTACAATCTATGTGAAGCTCTCCCTTTCTTTCTTTCTAGCATACAGTCAAGCACAGCCATAAGGTGGGCAGTGTTCCTGTAAGATACTTGATTTAAATTCCTTAACAGCTGCAGGATGCAGAGAAGCATCTGTAGGTGAAGAGCTGCCTTGCAAGTGGGCAGTTACTACAGCCAGCAAGGAGGAGATGTGCCCCCGTAGGGAGGCTACAGAGAGGGAGGATGGACATTCACTATAGCGCCACTCATCCCAAAAATACAGCATGATGTCATGCAGATTCCAAGTGTGGACTGCAGTAGCAGAAACAGGGTCATGTGTGCACTGGAGGGAGAGAGGAATAAGGAGGGAAAAAAGAGGAGAGTGAAGGTCTGTTTAAAATATTCAACCTCCCTTCCATTAACTAACCGTGTAAGGATGGGAACACGGCCTGCACTGTACATCTCATGAGAGAGAGAAGAAAAGAGGGAGAGAGAGAGAGATGGCGCACTGTGGGAGTACCCCTCTTTCATCCCTTGAATCCAGCTCAGCATTTTCTCAGTGATGTCATCTCTTTTTCACTCTCACTTCACCCTGTTCACTTTCTTCCTCACCTCCATCTGCTCTCCCTCTCCATCCTTCCTGGGCTTCCTTCATCTCGCACGCACATGTTCGATCCCCCCCCCCCCTCCCCCCCTCCCCCCCTCCCCTTCTCTGCACTTACTCAACGTGTGCTGCATTACAATATACGATGCATCATGTTCAGCACACACGGATCCCTATAAATCTGGAGCTACCGACAGTCATCCCGAGTTCAGCTGGAATAGGATATGTGGGGCTCGCTGCTTTCGCTGCATACCTCTCTATCCTCCTGTTCCTTCACTCTCCAGCCATGCAGCATCATCTGACAAGCAGGGAGAACACTGTGTGTTAACAAACAGGGAAAAGGCTGCTAGCCGGATGGACAAGGCCGGACAAGGAGGGGGGCGCGGACATGTGCTTGCAGCTTTTTATTGGGTTTGAAGACAAGGGAGAGGTATAGGAAGTACATCGAGAGGAGGAGTGTATAGCTCAGGCACACACACACACACACACACACAACCTTCCTTTGAAGTAGTCATTATTTTTTACGGCGGTGGATTTGGTGCAAGATATTTTCAGAGCAGATAGGTTTGGCTCTACTGGAGAAAACTAGAATAGACTTACATGAGGAAAAGTGTAAAAAACCCGACAAGCCTGCACCTGACACAGCTTTGTGACTTCAGGTTTGAGCCCTCTGCGGGAGACAGCGATGACCGGTCTCTGCCAGCAAGGACCGGTCTGATCTGCTCTCACAGGAGCTCCAAACACCTGCTTACATAAACTGTAGCAAATTCATCGTATCACTGACATTATTAATCTATTTCTTGAGAGTTTAATCATTCAACACATACCACATTTAGCATGCATTTCTATTCAGGAGTGCTTAAAAGCCTCTATCTCCCCACATTTCCCATCACCTCTGTCAAAAATGCCAGAAAAATATAACAAAAATGTATTTTCCTCTTAAGAAGAGTTACAATCCCTCTCATCTCCAAAAAAGGAATAACCTGGGTCTGGTTTGGCTACTTCTGGATCGCGTAGGACAGTGAAGTGCATTTGAAAGTCAGAGTAGCTAATCAATTCAAATGTGATTAAATAACTATGTTTAAGTATCTCTAATATGTTTTGTTTTTTTTACCTCTGTGGAGTCTGCTAAACACTTTCTCCTCACATCCTTTTTGTAAAAGATCTCAAAATCAAAGGGCTGCTACATGAGGAGTCACCTGACGGTCCTCAAGTATAAGTCTTTCGTCATGTTCTGCAGCCAGGATGATCCATTATCTGCCTCCAAAGTGACTTTATTCTCCAGAGTTCACTTAATTAAAGGGGGAGACACTTATCCCATCAGACTACCTCCCCTTGTAATTAAGGAGCATCCTGCTGATGTGCGTAGTGGGCTGGGGGTCAGCTGGCTCTCCCTGTAGCGAGGTCCAGCCGACTTCTGGTCCCTCTTTAGGAACAACTAGAAACCATATTCTTAACATGTAAACTGCTCGCGTCCAAATCTTAAGGACTGTGATTTGGCATTCATTCCGCCTCAGACGTTTTTAATGAAAATGGTGCACTTTGAGGTAAAGCAGTGTTCTATTCTGGAAAGAAATCATCTGTTTTATTCACATCCAAACACTACACAATTTTGGCAGGTGCTCCACAGATGTTATCACTTTAAAAATGAAAGTCGATCCTCATGTAACCAATGTAACATTGTCAATGATTAGAATAATATGCCAGATTATCTTGTCAGCAAAATGATCAGTATGAGTAGAAATCTAACTCATTAAATTATTGTCTGTGGAATATAAATGATTCACTTCCATAATAAACCTGAATCACCCAGAAATGTGTCCATCAAAAGAGCATTGTGTTACATTGGATGTCTCCATCTATGACTTCATTTGTTGTTTTTCTTCTTCAACCTCCAAACATTTTATCAGTTGTGCCTGTTGGTTCTTCATAAAGAGCTAAAATGACTAAGAGATATTCATCTGCATGAGCAACAGATGAGCTCATTAGCAAAGTGTGTCTCAGTGTCGGTCTACGCTCCAGGACAATCCAAAATGTCCAAAACACCAAACAAACGAATCAATGCCAGTCGACAGTAGGTATGCACAAGAGTGTGCATCCGACTTCAGAAGACACAGAGTATCCCTGTGACAAGGAGCAGGAGGAGAACAGGGACAGCTTATTGCTTAGCAAACACCAGAATTTGATTTCTCAACTTTTAATGTGGGGCCTGTTCAGGCCGGGGGAGAGTGAGAACAGGAATTTGGTCTTACTCTCTGTTGGTTAAGCAGCTGTTTCTCTGGAGGTCCGGACTGAGCAACAGAGTGAGAGAGTGAGAGAGAGAAAGAAGAAAAGCGAGAAAGTGAGTGAGACAGAGAAGAAATGGAGTGGCTGTGTAACAGGAGGCTTGTTCAGTTCTGAATCAGATCGCTTTATAGCAACGCAGGGGGTGAGTGGTTCCAGGCAGCAGACAATGGGCCAACAGGATCAATATTGACATTCTCCTTAGTGATAGCCGAGTTGGCTGGGTGAGGTCAGGGACTGGACCTTTGTACTAGCCAGCCAGCATTAGTGGTCACGGCTGGGGGACACTTACTGTAACCTTGGCCTTTCAGCATAATGGAGGGTCTGAGCGTGCCCAGGAGAGGTCCCTCCCCTTTATGGGCCAGATTACCGTAAGAGAGCTCAGTCCTCCAGTGGCCCGATTCAAACACAGATCATTACATTGTCAAAACAGCTACCAGACCACGTTGGCACACGCCAAGGCCAGCTTGTGTGGCAAAAAGCGTCTCGAAGTGCCAGCTGTTGAGCGCAGCAGCCGTGGGAGATGAGGCGAGGCGAAGACAAGAAAAAAGTAAGCGGAGCCCTTTTGGACAAGTGACCATTTATTAGCTCTTATTCCAACAGCACTTACAATTAGACAGATTCACTGGCAAGTCCTGCATGCTAGGCGAACACACATAAACACTGGGTACAATCTCTCAAGATTGATGGCAAGAGGTGCTACCGCAAAATAATAAAACACTCCGGCAAATTCCATGTCGTTGCTTTGCTGAAACAACAACTCAATTGTTGTTTACCTAAAGTGGTCAATTAATCCAAGGCAAACTCATAAAAGAGGAAAGGATGTGGGTTGTCCAGGTAGTCTGATCCAACTGGCTGAGAGTCGGGGCTACTAGGGATGCCACCGCATACCCCTCCCCAGCGTGGTAGAGGAAGAGGAGCGTAGGAGAGGGACAAAGTGAAGGAGGGACAGCAGAGGAGACACACGAGGAGGAAAGGAAACTCCCAAGGAAAGACGAGAAAAAGAAAGAAAAGGTGCAGAGGTACTGTTGTCAAAGAGGAGGGGTAAAAGGAGAAGGATGTGGAACAGGAAGGGTGGGGGGAGGAAGAAGAGGAGGTCATCTGAGGTGATGGTGATTCTGTACGATGGGCTGGTTTCATGAACGATGGAGCCGGGCCACTCTCCTTCCTGCGTTTCAGTTCTGGCTCGGGTTACTGGACCGAAGCCTCACAAACACACACAAGTCTCCCACACACATGCTGATTCTTCTTTACTACACACTTGTGATTCTTTCTTACAGAAATAGAAGTGACATCACAACAGTGGCGTGAATCAATACACGTTGCTCCCAATGAAACAGCTCAGAGTTCACGGTCAGGTGGCTGTCTCACAGTCCGAACCACTCCGTGACCCCTCCTCTCCTGGGGTCGAGTTTCTGCCTCTGCTTCTCGTTCTCCATGAACTGCTCCTGCAGCTCGTCCATGGAGCCCTCTGAGGCCGCCCGCTCCTTTTCTGGGAAGATGTCCGGGAAGGTGAACGTCTGTTCCTGGGCCTGGGAGGCAAAAAAAGAGAGAAAAATTAGCAAAGGAACCACCATTTTCCTACCTAATAATGAGAGGAATTTGTTGTTTATTTTCTATTTTAAATCATTTCAAAATGCGTCAAACTGCATTTTCCTTCAACCGTTTCCTTTTCTTTGCGGAAGAGAAGTGAGATACAGATCTGGAATTCAGGACACTGTTTCTCCCTTGATATCCCTATTTCCAGTTATACACTGACTTTCTCTCTGGCATTCAATTTCTCCAACTCTCCCCCATATTTAATCTCTCATCTTCTCTTCATTTCTCTGGTCTTGATTTATTCAGGGGGAAAGGATGGTATCCATTATTTATTCCATACCAACCCATCTCTGGCCATGGCTAATGCATCACTGGCCTAACCGTAGTCTGTGCCAGGCCGCCGTAGAGTACAGTACACACACACACACACACATGCATGCCTGCACACCCACGAACAGGTCAGTGGGTGCAGGCATGCACACATACCCATGGCCTATCCCTCTCAGCCTCTCCCATGGACACCTGGGAGCAAGAATTCACTGTTATCAGTCTCAACTGGAGGCAAATCATTGCTGTCCTTAAATGACTCAACTTTTGATGATGAAACTGCACTTACATGTGTCATTTTTATCACTCTATTTGGATTTTGAGCAACCTGCGAATAAAAGTGATTCATGATTACTAACGTGGTAGTTTACACTAAACAGCAGCTTCCACTTCATAGTGACAAATGTCATAATGTGACTCATACACTTCTGAATTCATTCAAAAAGGGCCTACCCTCATGAAATGAATTGCTTCCATGAACACAATTGTCAATCAACTATTCTGTTTAAATATGTGAAATATTTTGTTTAGGGTCAGTGTGTAGGCGTGAAGGAATGGTCTGGCTCTGATGTGAATGTTACTTTGTCTGCCTCCAACCCCCAAAATACCAAGAAAAACATGCATATAATTACCACATAGCATGGTTTAATTCCCAAAGGAGGGGGACAACATGAAGCTCCCTCAGCCAAAGCAACAGAATGGAGCTGGCCGCGTCTACTCCAAAACATGCTCGACTGACAACCTAGAGCAGGAGTCTTAGGGATCCTTATTGTACTCGTGCATGTATAAATGTGTGTGTTCAAGTGCATATTTGCATGTGTTTTGTAATGTTACGACCAGGTCAGAACATTATAACATCCTTATAAAGCTAAATAACAGACAAGATAAATAAGGGAATGGATGCTTGGTGACTGTATATACGCTGGTTAGAGCTTTATAACACACACAAGTTACGAGATGCTCCATACTTCAAACAAGACTGACAAGCACCGAATGGAGCCTGCACCAAATTTGGTTTCGGTATAAAGGTCATAGTTTCCCAGAATTTCTTCTCAGATTTTTAGAAGCAGCAGACCGGTTTTAAACTCGCTCACTTTTAAACTCCAACTTAAAATCACTCTTTGGTCTTTAGTTTTATATCTCCATGCATCCAACGAGTGTAGTTTGCTGCAGCCAGAGAACACCGATAACAGCAGAAGCTTCACGTGAAACGCATAACATATAATATGCTTCAGATAACAGGAAGTGAAGAGTTAAATGGGGAGGAAATGCAAATGAGCATAATAATAAATAAACAATAAACAGTTAAACTACCTAATGTTCATGCTGCAAAGGGTATTTTAAATTCCAACTTCCCTCTACATTTTGAATACTTCCTGTCCATTTAAGACAATAATAAATAAAACAATAAAATAAAAATTGTTGAGGCTGCAGTCCACCTTCCACCGTATTTCTTAGTCACTTACTAATCCTAAGTAGAGGTTTATCAGTGAAAAACAATACACCCTGGAGGGAGAGACTGGCTGGGTCTTAGCCTGCAAAGACTGCAGAAATGTTGTGAAAAATTACTATTTTGGTACGATACTTTAGACAGACCTGAATTCATGTTACTCTCTAAAACCAGGCCATTACAGTCTAAACTCTCTGATACCAGCTTTGAGGAGCAGCTGCAGCCATACACGCACAACCTTCAATCAAAAGAAAAAACACTGTTCTTGTGTTGCTGTCTTGCGGTAACGCCTGTATTGCAAACTACAGGAGGTTTTTCCAGTGAGCGCAGTAATGCAGGAAGAGAGAGACAAGAGTGCAGACCCAGTGAGGAGGCACAGGCCAGAGGGCTGCCAAACACCAGCGATGCACCTGGAAAGCGACCGCCCCTGCCAAGGCCCTTTGTGTCTCTCTGCACTCGCACACACTGTCATCGAGGAACACATAATCCAGAACAAACACTGCACCGGGCCAAGGGACGTTTGCCGCAGGAGTACGAGGAGCGGGGAGAAGGTGGCAGCAGGGGAAAAAGATCGGGGTAAGCGATGCGAGCGACGTGACTGGAGAGGAGGAAAGGATCTACCGAAGCACTATAAACAGCAGACCTGGCAACGGGGGGGAAACAACGAACTTCACCCAATTTCAACCAAACCTTGTCGCATGACAGTTCCCAGTTACACGGCGTAGCGCTGGACACCTCGTGTATACACATGGCAAAGATTGATATCGGCCTCAGTGAGCGGCGATTCACAAAAACAACAGAGATTGAAGATTGAAATCAACAAAAGCGCCGAGACTCGTTAAACAAGTCTTATTGTTGGCAGCAGGCCGCACCCTGTGTGTGTGTGTGTGTGTGTGTGTCAAGCGTCTGCTGGACACATTTCCGCAGTGAGAGAAAGTGCTGGCAGAGTGCATTCTTATTTTTGTTTGAAATATATACATCGCACCAAAGCAGAGGCAAAGCCAATGACCCCTCGGTCTCCAAGCCCAAACGCTCTTTCCTGTGCCTCTGAATGTGTGTGCGCGAGAGAGAGAGAGAGGGGGGGGGGGGGGGGGGGGGG